TAGGTGAGGTCCTGCCTTATGCCCTCCTTCCTTCTGCCAAACCTCCTCCCTCTCCCCTCCTGCTTCCCTCTACCCCCAAACTGGACTATATTAGTGTTTTATTGTTCTTTGAGCATGTAATTATTATATATTGATTTCATAGTAGTATAGAGTACATTGGATATTTTTCCGTTCTTGTGATACTTCACTAAGAAGAATGTATTTCAACTCCACCCAGGTAAATGTAAAAAGTGAAAAGTCTCCATCTTTTTTAATGGCTGACACCATACACATATACCACAGTTTGTTGATCTATTCATAGGTTGATGGACACTTAGGTTGCTTCCATGACTTTGTGATTATGAATTGAGCCACAGTAAATATTCTGGCGCAAATGTCTTTGTTGTAAAATGATTTTTGTTTTTCCGGATAGATACCTAGTAATGGGATTGCAGAGTCAAATGGAAGGTCTACTTTTAGATCTTTGAGGATTCTTCATACTTCTCTCCAAAAAGGCTGTAATAGTTTGTAATCCCACCGGCAGTGTAGAAGTGTTCCCTTCTCTCCACATCTACACCAGCATCTGGTGTTCTGGGACTTTTTGATGTGGGATAATCTTGTTGGGGTTAGGTGATATCTTAGACTGGTTTTGATTTGCATTTCTCTGATGATTAAAGATAATGAGCATTTTTTCATGTGTTTGTTGGTCTTTCATTTGTCATCTGTTTCTGTTCAAATCTCTTGCCCACTCATAGAGAGGGTTGTCTGTACTTACTGTTTAATTTGAGTTCTCTGTAGATTCTAGTTATCAGGCCTTTCATAACATGCAAAAATCTCCCATTCTGAAGGCTGCCTGTTTGCTTTGTTTGTGGTACCCTTAGCCATGCAATAGCTTTCTTAGCTTGATCAAATCCCAGTTACTTATTTTTGGTGTTGCTGCAATTAATCGGGGTGGGGGGGTATTCCTCATAAAGTTTTTTCTCAGGCCAATATCTATTTGCCTTTAAAAGAAAAAATAACTTTCTCTTTTCTTTTTGATTGGACATAGATTTGTTAACTGAAGTTAGGCATTAGCTTCCTTAATGATTACATTCAGCAAATACTCTTTCCTTGCATATTTTGCCTTTACAAAGATTTACATACATTTCAGAGAGGGAGAGAGAGAACTTAAATGTTTTCTAAAGGAAATGAGAATAAAGAGGAAGGAGGTATCTTCCTTTATTTTCAAGAAGAATAATTATTAGGACAGGCCTTAGAGTATTAAAATATTACTACATATAAATAATAATATGCCTTATTCCCTTGTATCAATTTTTCCTAGATTAGCAGTACCCTCCTTTTTCTGACAGGTCCTTTTCACTCAGAATTCTTTTTCAGGAAAGTATTCCAGAATGTGATTCCTAGTCAAGGATTGGTCACCTCTCTCCATTTTTAATAAAGCATTCCTGGAAATCCCTCCTTGAAATCTGGAGAGCAGCTATAAGGACAAATATAGTCTGAGATGGACTGGTGCTCTGCAGCCAGTATTGCAGTTCCTCTAAAACTGTTTCATCTAAGCCTGCTGTTCATCCTGTTTCTGTCTGTTTTTGGTGTGATTGTTAGGTAGATAGTTAAAAACCCTGCTCTCCTAGGGGAAAAGGACAAGGGCAGAGCCCTCATGCCCCAACCAGACCTTAATTCTGTCTGTGATTGCTCACACCTGGGGAGGAAGGACCAGCCTACCAGTCTACCAGTCACAACTTACCATACCAGCTGCTAAAGAATGTAGAAAACCGTCTAGCCCATGGGCCTGGCACGAGGCACAATAGAGTCTTGGAGGTGACTTAAAATAGCTGTAAAGCTAATTATCATGTCATTAACTTAAATCTACATTGTGGTCCACAGCCCCACAGTGGGCTCTCAGAGAGGCTAATGGGAGGTCTACACGTGCAGTAGGACTCTGGTTCCAAGGTGATCTCTGAATCACAAGGCAGGCCTGATCCAGACCGTATAAAACAGAACTGACAGCCATAACCTGTGACCCTGCCCCTTTACATCTTTGCCCTTTTGTTACAAAAAGGGAGGCCTGTTTGATGTCTCTGGTGAGTGTATCTTGCTTTATAAACCTTCTTACTCTCTAAATCTATCTTTCTCCTCCTTGGTAGACTTTGTTTCATGTTTGCCTTACTTTGGGGTGTCTGGTCTTTCTTTAGCTAAGAGCAGACCCAAGAAACAAAGATGCAGACAGCTGCCTGAAACCCTGACATGTTAGGACACGGTGGCTATTTTGGAACCTGACATGACCTCTGTATTATCAAGGACAGGCAGTAAAGTATTTTGCACTTTGTTTTATTTTATTTCAAGAACTCTATGAGGGTATACCTGTGTCCACTTTGTTACCATTTAACTCTCAGTACCCAACACAGAGAAGTGCTCGACATGGGAGGGCTGTCTAGGAGGTGTCTAGCCATCATTAATAGTATTCCTTCATTGAAGGAATACAATTGGGATTAAATTTACATATAGTAAAATGCACCCTCATCAGTATAAATTCTATGGATTATGAGATGTGCATACAGTCACGTAGCCACCATCACAATCAAGATATAGATCAAAATCAAAAATATTTTCTCTTGTTCTTTAAATGTCAATGCTCCCCTTCATCCCCTTGTTCCTAGCAAAAACTAATGTGTTTTCAGTTCCTATGGTTTTACCTTGTTCTGAATTTCATAAAAGGTAGGCTTAAATTCTAGCTTCTTCCACTTGGCCCGATGCATTTGAGATTGATCCAAACTGTCACATATATTAGTACTTCATTCCTTTTAATCGTTGGGCATTATCTTATCTCATGGATGTAGTAATCTCTGAACACCCTCTAAATTGATATGTAACCAATAATATGTAGTACAAGAATTATAGTAGATCCATGGTTATGAGTTTGACCTTGATCTTTAGAACCAAAGTAATCCAGATTAAATTTCTGTCTGCAACGACCTGTGTGGCCTTCAGCCCCTTAATGAAGCCCTTGGAATATCACTTCTTTTCATCTGTAGAGTGGGAGGTGGGGGTGGAGGAGAATGGTCATTGTTTGTCTAAAATGAAACATTACAAATGAATTAATTTATATAATGTCTGATGTACCAACAGTGATTAAGTAGACATTCCATATTTTTAATCGTTTCACAACACTAAACATAAAATCATTGTAATAAAATTGTGGCAGAAGTAAATTAAATTTATCTTTTAGATGCTTGACTTGAGGATAAAGAAAGTAAACATATTGATTTTTGAAATCAAAGGGAAATGTCTCAAGAATTGTAGTTGGTGGATAGTTGAAAATATTTAGACATATGGGTAGCACTTGTGGCTCAGTGGGTAGGACAACAGCCCCATATAACAAGGGTGGTGGGTTCAAACCCAGCCCCAGTCAAATTGTAACAAAAAAGTAGCTGGGCGCTCTGGCAGGCACCTGTAGGCCCAGCTACTTGGGAGGCTGAGGCAAGAGAATTGCCTTAGCCCAGGAGTTGGAGGTTGCTATGAGCTGTGACAGTACAGCACTCTACCAAGGGCAATAAAGTGAGACTCTGTCTCAAAAAAAAAAAAAAAAAGGAAGAAAAGAAAACAAAACATTTAGACAATAGAGAGAATAGAGGTCTAATGTAGTCTTCCTCTATGGCTCAGGAACCATTTCCAGACTACACAAAGTAAATAAACTTCGTTGCAGTTTGTACCAAATTACTTTAGGAAATAAAATAAGAAGCAACTTAAGGCCCTACAACCACTTTAGAGGTCATTTTTACTCAAAATCCCCCATGTTTTTTACTCCATATATTTTCAAAATTACATATAACTTGAGCTAGCAATGTATAAATTTTAATGCTAAAAGAACTATTTCTGAAAAACACCATGTAAAAGTATAGGGGTTTCCATTTATCAGTATTGATAAATTGTGTTTTCATATTTCTTTGCAATTATTTTTTAAATAATCCAGAAAAAGTGAAAGAATCATAAAAATACAGTCTGGGAAATCACTTTCAACAGGTACATACCAGATCATTATAGTTTGTTTTACCATTTACTGATGAAGATCTTTTAGGCTATTTTCAAGATTTTTTCACAGGGGGTCAATTTTCAGTAAAGCAGGTATGAAAATGTGTACATGTGATTTTAGAGGACTTAAGAGTCACTTGGGTAAATGCCTAAGAGCAAAATTGCTGGGATGTACTGTAAGTGCAGGTCTAACTTTGAAAAAAAACCCTGCCATCCTGGTTTCAAAAAAAGCTGTATCATTTTGCATTCTCATCTGCATGAGATTTCCAGTTTCTCTGAGTCCCTTACCAGGACTTGACACTGTCAGCTTTTCCTTTTTCCTTTGTTTATAATGTTAGCCATTGGAGTGAGTGTGTAAATGTGGTATACTGTGGTTTAATGACTACAATCTCGAGCATCTTTCCATGTATTTGCCATCCATATCATTTCTTTGGTAAAGTGTTCATTCAAATATTTTGCTCATTTTGTTTTTGGGTGTTTGTTTACTCTTAAATGAATTTTGAGAGGTTTTTATATTATATTTTCTGCGGCTTGATTCTTAAACCTTTTCTTTTCTTTTTTTTTTTTT